TTGACACAAAATTAACACAGAAGTAATTTCTAAATTTTAAATTTCTAAATTTCATTTTAACGCATAATACATTTAATTTCTAAATTTACACATAAATTAACACAAAATTAACTCGTAATTATATATAAAAGTATTCACACACATACAAAATTAAAACATAAATTTGTTTATTTTTTGAAATTATTAACACACATTAAAACATAATTTCAAATTAAACCATAATTTTGTTTTTTTTTTATAAATTATTAACACATATTTAAAACATAATTTCAAAATATTTTTTTTTTCAAATTATTAACTCATATTTAATTTCAAATTTATCAAAGTTAAAAAACAAAAAATAAATAAATTAAACCCTTAAATAATTTCTAAATTTTAAATTTCTACATTTCATTTTTATATTTAACGCATAATACATTTAATTTCTGGGTGACGTTTGATGATGTCAACATGTATTCAAGGGTTTTGTTTGAATACACCTGAACGAGGGCTTATGAAGCTTAATCCCGTTCAAATGTATTTGAGTGTATCTGAACAAGTCGGCACGAATTTGATGTGCTTGTTGACTTATTCCAGTGAGAATTCTGGTTGAATTTATAATCTCTTAGGAAAAATGACTTCTGGATCCCTTCAACTGATGGAGGAATGGGTATTTATAGGGGATGAGAACCCCTTGAGTGGACTTAGTAGGTTTGGACTTAGCCCATTTAATGACTTAAAAGTCTTTTAACCTGGTCCATTGGATTTATTTTATAACCTGAATTGTATTTGATTAATTCGGATTATTTATTTGGGTGGGCAAAAAATAATTAACATGATTTAACTCAAATTAATAAATTTAATGTATGACACTTATAAAATTTCCGTGTCTACAAATTGCCCCCTCGAGACTGTATCATATACACGATTTGAAGTGTTTGGCGTGACAAGATCTCGACTCTTTTGCTTGACTTGGGAGTCACTAGTACTTAATATTTTTTTGGTGTTGGATTAGTTTTGTTAACATCCTTGGACTGTATCCTAGTTATACTAGGTTTGACTCCTTGATCACTGCAACTTAGGGGGTGTTTGGTTCATCAAATTGGAATGGATTGGTATGGAATCTCATATTTGAGAGGTATGGATTCTAAAACCCATACTAATCCAAAGTTGTTTGATTTTATTGTTGGAATGGATTCTATCCTTCATTAATAGAATGGATTGTGAATCTTAGGGGAAGGGGTGGGTATGAGATTCCATGGGTATGGGGGTAGTTAGAACTCCTTGGGTATGAGATTACATTACTAAAAACCTCAACCAAACAAAAAAACTAGATGGAATGAATTTTAACTCCATTCCAACCCATTCCAAATAAATCCAACTAAACGACATTGGATAAGGGGTTTGACTTTGTATTGCTACCTAACTATATAAGGGGTCGTTTAGTTGGATTATTTGGAATGGGTTGAGACGAGGTTTGACTTTGTATTGCTGCCTAACTTCCCTGATGATCTGACTTGCTTTGTCACAAATTTGATGAATTAATCAATCTCGCTCTTTTCTTTATTGATGTGCAGTACCAAAACTATAAGAGTTTGGGTGACTTTGGATTTTGTCCGCAGCCGAAGTATTCAAGAGACTATACAAGTGTACAGTCATTCACGTCTAAACCAGTAAGTAGTCTGAACTGATATTTTTATATCATATTGCAGCCCTTAAATCACGAGAGTTAAATTTTTGTCGTATAACTTCGTCCAAGATAGTCTTGATTTGGTTCTTGCTGCATAATTTCCAATTGTGAGAAAATCATGGTTCACCATATCGTAATGTCGCACTCGTTATGGTTGTCTAGGTTTACATCATATTCCCGTGTATTATTGCGGCAACGTTGCACCAGTGGCTAGCAAAAGGTAATGGTACCAAACTTGTGCCTCTTTATTAACTCACATTCATGTCAATATAATCAGAGTCAATCATGAGTACTCCTTGTTCAATTTGAGCGCATGTTTTTTTTTTTTTTTTTTTTTTTTTTTTTTTTTTTTTTTTTTGTGTGTGTGTATATTTGCATGTGTGTTTGTTCTTTGTAGCGTTGTGCACATGACAGATTCACAAGGTAGTCAAATGTTGTCGCCCATGTCGCGATAGGTCAGGACTTTGTTATGAACCCATTGGGGATGTGAAGTTATGTATGCCAGTCGTTATAAACTTGACATCTTAAGACTGGTCGGATGACTTGAAGATTTGAAGTTGCCCTTGTTGCGATGAGTCAGAACTTTGTTATAAACTCATCGGAGACGTCAAGTCATGTATGTCAGTCATTATGAACTTGACGTCTTTAAGACAGGTTTGATAACTTGAAGATTTGAGTAGCCCATATTGCGATGGGTCAGGACTTTATTATGAACCCATCGGGGATGTCAAGTCATGTATGCCTAGTCGTTATAAACTTGACATTTTAAGAATGGTCTACTCAAAATTCCAATACGAGAATCCTTGACAGACCTATAATACAGGTGTCATGTCGAACACATCCTCATGATTTATTTATTATTTTTTTTCTTTTTTTTTTTTTTGCTTGTTTTTCTTTTTCATTCACAGTTTATACTCTTGTGAGCCAAGAGTAAATTTTTTTTGTTTTGTTTTTCCATACACAGTTTATACTCTTGCGGATCAGGAGTAATTTTTTTTTGTTTTTTTTTATTTCACCGTACACAGTTTATACTCTTGCAGGCCAAGAGTAATTTTTTATTTTTTTATTTCACTATACACAGTTTATACTCTTGCGGGTTAGGAGTAGTACAATGATGATAATTTTTTTTTTTTTTGATGTAGCTGCACTTGAATTTTTTTTTTCAAGCTGCCTACGTACTTGCTAAATAAACAAGTTATCTCGCAAGATCAAGCCAACGTTCAAACTATGCATTTTTTTTTGGTTTTTTTTTGGTTTGGTGAGCAGTTTATCCTCTTGCTTAGGAGTTTTCTAGGCTTTCACTTCATGAATAGTAACGCTTCAAAAACTTGCCATTAATTGGACCTACGCGTAACCCCTCAGCGTCAACAATTTTGTACGCTCCATTGGTGTAGACTTCTCGTACCACATGCGGATGATAACTTGCTATTTGATATTTTTAGGGTGTTTTTGAACCTAGGTTACTTGATAAATTTGTGTTTTGGTTCACTTTTACTCTATTGTTATGCATGTTTTTGTATATCCTATGCTTCACGGGTTGTTAGTGTTTTTGTTGAGATTTTAGGTCCAAAGATGACCAAATGAAGCGTATGGATATTGAACCGAGGTTAGACGCAAGAAAATGATGGAAAGAAGCCAAGGAAAAGAGCAAAACCGAAAGAAAAGGTGAAGAGAAGGGCTTAGAAGACCCCGCACGGCCGTGCACGTCCGTGCAGGAGTGCTCCAGAAAGTCAGAACCTTCTGCCAAGGCCTGCACAGCCGTGCTTAAGTTGGCACGACCATGCAGAAGAGGTTGCACGTCCGTGCAGGATTTCATGCCCAAGCAGTAGCTTCTGCCCTGCCCTGCACGACTGTGCTTAAGTTGGCATGACCGTGCAGAAGAGGTTGCACGTCCGTGCCATAACTGGCACGTCCGTGCAGGATTTCAAGCCCAAACAGTAGCTTCTGCCTTGCCCTGCACGGCCGTGCATAGGGCAACACGTCCGTCTAGCTTAGTCTGCACGTCCGTGCCTAACTTGGCACGTCCGTGCCGACCTGTAGCCGAGCCCGATTCTTGTTTTCTTCGTCCTTTTTATTTGGGGGTCTTATAAATACTCCTTTTGAGCTCATTTATACGGATCATCAAGGTTTTTAGAGCTTTCTCTTAGTTTTGCAATCCTAGAACATTAAATTCTCAAATCATTAGTTAGATTCTAATTATTAGCTTGGAAATATTAAACTTCAATCATTGTAGAAGACAAGTTCCACCATTGTTGCTCACATTGAAGCTTCATAGTAACTATTTCTTACTCTTCTCTTTCATTTCTCTCTACTTTGTTGTTAATTACTTGCTTAATGCTTGCATGCTTAGATTGTTAATTAGCTTAATCCTTAGTTTGAACTTGTTCATGAATTGCTTGAAATCTTTAATTGCCTTAATCTCCATAGATTGTGAGTAGTCTAATTTCTAGGGTTTGGGTAAAACCCTCAATGTCGTCACTAATTTCTTGTTGCATGTAATAATTGGGTAATTATTGGGTGTTAATTAGTTGAGCTTAAGTGGTTTAATTACTTAGTTCTTGTATATGGCCATTGCTAGAACTATTTATCCAAGCTTTCTCAATGAAAGATCGAGAGATGAACTTGAGTTAGCTCCCTTATGCTTAATTGACTTGAAATGCCATGAGAATAGGAATTTCCGGTCAAAGGAATGTTTATGTCTTCGTGATTATGCTTTAACACTTGTTTTATGCTTTGTAACCACGAGAGTAGGTTGTATTCATGATTCAAGTAATCCCTCTAGCTTGAGAGAGTAGTTGGGTGCCTTAGATGACTTCCCCTAATTTATCCCCTTAATTCACCTTAATTGTTGCATGCTAATCGTGATTTGTGATGAAGTTGAGTGGTATAACCCAAGCCTTAGATTCCTCTAAATATTATTTATCTTCTCTTAGCTTTAGTTGAATTGAATTAGTTGAAGTTACTCAAAACCAAACCAACTTCGACTTCATTTAGCTTTTTTAAACGGTAGTAACTCGGTGGTTGATTCAACGCCTCTCTTGGGTTCGACCCTTTCTTACCCTTGTTATTAGTTAGTAAGACCAAGATAGGAATTTATATTTTGGTAGGCTCGACAACGGCCTATCAACGGACCATCCCGTTTTGATGTGAATTTACTTCCAGTTTTGCAAGAAGTAATGATAGGTCTTCTTACTGCCAAGACCATGTCTCCCACTTGAAAAGAGCGAGGTCGAACCTTCTTGTTGAATGCACCTGACTTGTGAGCTTGATAGCATTGCAATTTTTGTTGAGCTTGTAATCTTTTCTCATCGAGCGCCTCAAGCTCAGCCAATCAAAGCTTGTCATTTTCATCACTAGTCAAACCTTCTTGAATGACAATTCGCAGTGATGGAATTTGAAGTTCTAAGGGTAGGATAGCCTCAACACCATACACCAACGCGTACGGAGTAGATTGTGTTGCATTCTTGTATATCGTCCTATATGCCCAAAGTGCTTCCCCTATCTTTTCATGCCAATCACGCTTAGACTTTGCAACGACCTTGCTTAGCAAATTACAAAGTGTTTTGTTAAATGCTTCAGCTAGACCGTTTGCAGGAGCATTGTACATGGATGGCTTATGTTGCGTGAACTTGAACTTTTGGAAAAGGTTATTCATCAAGTTGTTGACGAATGTTTTTCCGTTGTCAGTGACGATTCGTTGAGGTACTCCATACCTGTAAATGATATGGGTGCGAATGAAGTCAACAACATTTTCTTTTTTCACCTCACGAAGGGGAATAGATTCAGCCCACTTAGAAAAGTAATCAGTGGCAACTAGAATGTAAGCGTGACCACCAGATGATTTTGATGTGATTGGACCAACAATGTCAAGACCCCATCCTTCGAATGGCCATGATGTCATAGTTGGATGTAGTGGTTCTGGGGGTTGGTGAATGAAGTTTGCATGTAATGACATGCTTCACACTTTTTAACGAACTCTGATCCATGCAATCTTGAACCATTGAGGGCCAGTAATACCCCATCCTTTTAATACGATCATGAAGCTTAGGACCAGATTGATGAGCTCCATAAATCCCAAAGTGAAATTCCTCCATTGTTTTGGCTGCCTCTTCATCTTCTAAGCATCTCGACCATAATTTGTCGAAAGACCATCGGTAGAGAGTTCCCTTGAAAAAAATAAAGCGAGAGGCTCGGCGGCAGATTTCTATTCGATGTCGTGGATCATTAGGCAGTTTTTGGTGATCCAAATATCAATGATTGGTTGACGCCAATCTTCTTTGTCAATTTGGCAGACAGTGATCATGTCAACTTCCTCGACCTCTTCATCTTCAACTTCATATTCTTCAGGAGCAACTACCCAACGATTGCAAATAGGCACAGACATGGTTTCCTCTGCCCCCAGTGCCAAAGTGGCTGCAAGACCAGCAAGCGCGTCAGCCATCTTGTTAGCACTCCTTGGAAGCCTGACAGTGTCAAATTTATCAAGCAATCTTGATGCATGTTTGTGATAAGGAATTAAATCCTCTTTCTTGACTTCATACTCGCTTAAAATTTGGCTTATAACGAGTTGCGAATCTCCATGAACATCAAGATCTTGAATTCCCATTTCAATCGCCAATTGAAGACCCAAAATGAGAGCTTGGTATTCATCCATGTTGTTTGAGCACAACTGAGTTAACACAAACGAGTAAGGCAAGACATGTCTCTCTGGTGATGCAAAGACTACTCCTGCTCTCGCACCATCATGACGAGCTGCCCCATCAAAATACATTTCCTATGGTGGGAGAATTTCAATGTTAAACACATCTTCTCCAGGCAAATCAACGGAATTATCCCATTTAGGTGGTACTAGGTGATCGGCAAAGAAGTCAGCGATGGCTTGTCCTTTGGCAGACTTTTGGGGTACCAAGTTTTCCAGACAACACTGGTCTTGAAAGGATGTACTTGATTGGGTCGGCTTTGGAGACGACATGGACTGTATGAGCTTGTATGTAATGCCTCAATTTTTGGATGGCAAAAATTAATGCAAGACAAATTTTTTCAATTGGCGAATAATTCAGCTCGGCACCCACCAATGTTCGACTCAAGTAATAGAGAGCTGTCTCCTTGCGATCTTCAATTTCTTGAGCACACATTACCCCCGACAATTTTTCTTAGGCAGCAATGTAGAGGATTAGAGGCTTTCCTTTGACTGGTGCCCCAAAAACCGGCGAAGAGGACAAATACTTCTTTGTATTGTCGAATGCCTTTTAACATGACTCATACCATTTGAATGGAGCATCCTTTTTCATGAGATGACTAAATGGGTGACATCTGCTTGTAAGATTGGAGATGAACCTCCGAATATATGCAAGGTGCCCTTGGAGACCGCAAAGTTCTTTGAGATTTCATGGTTCAGGCATTTCTTGAATTGCCTTAATTTTGGTCTGGTCATTTTCAATTCTCCTATGCCTTACGATGAAACCTAAAAATTTTCCAGAGGTAACACTGAACGCACATTTGAGAAGGTTCATTTTTAATTGACATTTTCGCAGTCTTTCAAAGATTTTGCGAACGTCACCTAAGTGATCCTCCCTCTTTCTAGACATAACCACTAGATCATCCACATAACACTCCACTGTTTTGTGCATCATGTCTTTGAAGATCTTTTGCATTGCACGCTAATACGTAGCTCTAGCATTTTTTGAGCCAAATGGCATAACTTTGTAGCAGAATATCCCTTTTGGGGTGCGAAATGTTGTGGCTTCTTGATCTTCAGGTGCCATGTGGATTTGATTATATCCGGCTGTGCAATCCATGAATGACAATGCCTCATGTCTAGTGGTGGCACCGATCATTTTTTTTGTAACTGGTAGTGGGAAGTCATCCTTGGGACATGGTTCATTTAAATCACGGAAATCCACGCAAACTCGCAGCTGTCCATTTTTCTTTCTCACAAGGACAATGTTTTCTATCCATGTAGGGTATTTGACTTCACGAATGAACTTCGCATCAATGAGTTTGTTCACCTCAGATTCAATTTCGTGGATCAACTCTGGCCTGAATCGCCTTTGTGATTGCTTCTTTGGGCTAACACCCTTTTTGATTGCCAATCGATGGACAGCAACCTTTGAGTTGAGACCTGGCGTTTCTTTGTAACTCCATGCAAAGACATCTTTATACTCGGAGAGTAATTTGAAGTATTTTTGTTCTTCTGCTTAAGTGAGAAGAGCACTAATGTATACAGGGCGTGGGTCTTCAAGTGTACCAAAATTTCTCTTTTAACTCATCCACTGTGGCTTGCCCCCCGTCTTCAAGTGTCTTGGGAGCTTCATTAGTCTCTATCTTCTCATCGTGATTTGGCACCTTTTTAGCCGTCACATGATTTGTGGAAACAATCTCCTTGTGTTCCTCTATTGCATGATCCGACGACTCATCTTGGTTGGTGAAAACCACAATGCGAACTCTTACCTTCAAAGATTGTTTCTCACTGATGTCTATGTCTTGAGTTCTCTTCATGCGAGAGGGAACAACACCTTTTGGCTAGTCATTTTTCATGACATTTTCTTCCCTTTTCTTTATGCGGCTAAAAGCTGATTGTCTTTGTTTTTTTCTAGAGGCATTTGTCATGCCTACGCGGTTAAAGACAAATACTTTTCATCTTAAGTGTCGAGAGCTTGAAGTTTCTTTCACCATGTGGTCACACTCTCCAAGCCTATCGAACATTGATATTTGATCCCTTGTAGAAGCTAGTCGAAGTCGAGCAAAAGCAGAAATTTTGGTAAGGGGAACATCATTCTCACCCTCACCTTCCTTGAGTTCCTCGGCAGTAATGTACTGTGAGGAAAAGTGTCCACTTTACGCCACACACCAATTTTGATTGGTTTGGGGCGTTGAAACCCTAGGACTGCCTTGAATTCTTGATACTTAGAGCCATAGTCAATCAGTTTTTTCTGAGTATCATTGAGTCCGCGGGGTTTAATGTCAATGACCTTACCCATTGGTGTTGGGTTTTCAAAGTCATATCCCGACTTTGCCAATAACTTGTATGCATTTTGGCTAAACTTTGCTTTGTTAAGCTCCTTCTCCTTAGATGACTCTGTTGATAACTTAGAAATTTGACTTTGAGTTCCTTTACCCAATGGCACGGTTGTTTTACTCTTCAAGCTTTTGAATGTAGTGTCATCAATTGACTTTGCTACCTTGGCATCAAGGTTAACATCTCGACACTCAAAAGGTGATTCTCCTTCCTTCTGACGTGACTTTGGGATGTATCGCAAAATAGGAGTCGACAACTTTGGCTTTTCTTTTATGACGGGATGAGAGTCACCCTTTTTTTCCACTTCTTCCTTTTGTAGTGGCTTCTCTTCAACTAGAGATGTCTTTTTGGCACTTGAAGATAGAGCAACGCTCTCCTTAACTTTTCCTTTTCCTGTTGAGGAGACTTGTGAAGGCAGTATCTCACTTGACGCCTCTTCTTCTTCAAAAAACTTGGCGTTAGAAAAGTAAGAATCTGCTTTGTTGAAGGGTTTAACATCCCCATTTTTCTTCTTTTCACCTCTTCGATAGTACTTGAGACATTGATGGAGGGTCGATGCAACAACACCATTCTCATGCAACCAAGGGCGTACTAGCAACATTTTGTATGATGTCTTTGTGTCAATCACATGAAAGAGAGTCGATGATGTTAAATCTCCCATTGAGAGTTCTAGGCGTATTACACCTATTGCACGTTGACAAGGTTGAACCCTTGGATCACTATGCGACTGTTAGACAATTCATCCATCTTGATTCCTAACACTGTCATAGTGGATTTTAGCATGATATTAATAGCGGATCCACCATTAACTAAAATGCGACTTACTTTTTGTTCACGGATGTACCCCAACACAAACAAAGGTTGATTGTGGGGTTTTGACCCTATCAACAAGTAATCATCTATGAAAGCTAAGGCTGCATTGCACGACACACATTTTGTGGTATCCTCAGCACGTTCTCTAGCATTTTTCACCTTATTGGCATACAACTCTGGGTGTTGGAGTGCAAGAGACAACTGTTGACACATCTCCTTAGGCAAGTGAAAGATTGCCTCCATCCCATGCATGACAGAAGAGCATCTAAGACAGTAGATATTTTTGGATCCACTACCGCCTTAGATTGTTGTAGAGTTGATTCTGTTGATGTTTCATTATCAACTTGTTCCTCCTCACTTTCCACAAAGGAAACCGTATTTGCGATAACCACAGTAAAGTAGTCTTCTGGGAAATATTCCTCCAAAGTTACAAGAGACAACGGCTCTTGCTCAAGCAAATCAATAGGGAGGACCTTTTGCTTACTGGCCTCTTTTGTTTTCTTTTTCCCTTTTGAATACCTGGATTTTCTCTTCCTTTGTTGCTTTCTTCTACAATGGGAGGGTTGTGGTTTAGGAGTAGGCACTTGTTTCCTTGGCCTTCTCCTTGTCACCAATGTCCACCCTTCGTCATGGTCTTCATTCTGGGAGTTAAGATGTGTAGGGTGTTCAACCTGGGATGAAACTTCATGTCGAATAGGTTGACTCTCCACAAGTATGATCACAGGCTCCAAACTTCCAAATTGCAAAGTTTGAGCCTGGAATGATGGCTCAATGGTTACCGAGGCATGATTTGATGTCACTGGCTCGTCGACATCTAACTCAATTATCCCATCCTTCGCCAATTGCATAATTTTCTCCTTTAGTATTATACACTTTTCAATAGGATGACTGATCAACCTATGATACAAACAATAATTGGGATAGGATGTCTTGTTCATTTGCTCAGGGCGCTTTGACTCGGGCATTTCAATGACTTTGTTTTCAAGCAAGTTGTCTAACATGCCAGACAAGTCAGATCTAGGAAAGGGTATTTCTTAGCTTGAAGCTCTTTCAAAGTGGGTTTATCTTTC